TTCTGGGCCGTATTAAAGTATCATTGATAACACCTGCTGTGTTTACCCTACTATTTAATGTCAAAATGGCTGCTGTGAAAAATCACTCTTAGTATCCACTATTTCATGGAGTAGTCCATTTTTATTTTTTTTTTTAGAGTTCAGATAAATCCCATTTCATCACAGTGTGATAGAGGTGCATAAGCTGTGGTCATGTAGCTCATGAGCACATTGACACCTGGCTCAGAAGTAAATGGACTTAAGGATCAGCAGTATCTGTCCTCAAACAGTTTAGTAGTTCCAGGAATAAGGGAGTAGGCTATACCTAGAGAGCGCGCAGGGTGGATAAGCCACTTGGATTCATCTGTATCTTGCTTTTTGGGTATCTCACTTAAGAACAGCAAACCGTGGGCTTTTGACATACGCAGCCTGTGGAATAAGTGTTTCCAAATATAGCAGGGATTGCCAGGCTATTGTTTCCTAACTTGTTTGCTAGCCATACCACTTTATAGGTGGAGGGTTGTGTTTGGGTGAGTTTGTTTTGGAGTCTAGTGCATCTTTTTTTTTTTTTTTTTTAACTCTATTTCCACCCAGTTTAAGCAAACAAAAGCCAGGAGAAAGTCCCCAGTCTCTATTGAGTGAAGCGTTTAGAGGAATTATACTTTGCACATCTGCGATTACGAGGGTCTGCTAGGATCCACGTGACGTGAATTTCATCATCAGAGGGTGTACTCGTAGGCTCTTTGCAGACATCCACACACCAGCATTTTGACATGAAATAGTAGATTAAAAAAGGTGTTATTAATGATACTAATTAAGAAAAGCCAACATGCAAAATAGCAGCACTCTGACTCTGTTTGACCTGAATGGAACCGTACCTTCATTAGTATCCCCTGTGTTTGCCCTACTGTTTCATTTCAAAATGGCTGCTGTGAAAAAGGTCTATTTAAAAACATGTGAAATTTGCAGGACCTTTGTTGTATTTGTTTGTTTAAAAATGTCCATGTAACACAAAATGTAACATGCATTTTTTTTGTTGGACATGAGGTAGGTATTAAATTCACTCCATGACATCAGATTAAGTTCACTCTCTGCACATGTGCTGCAATGGGCAGAAAAGAGTGACTTTGAGCTGCAGGCAAATTGGGTTGAGTGTCCCTGTGAGTTTTTGTCTATGAGCATGAGAGTGAATAAGTGAGTGGTGAGTGGACAGAGATGTCACAAGGAGACAAAGAGGTTGTGGAGGGAGGCACTGGACTTTGTGAGCAAGCCATAAAATGGAAAGGGGTTGGGGGTGAGGTGATGACTGTGTCAGGGGTGATGGTGCCAAATGAGACGTCTTTTTTCTTATCAAAAGTGGACATACCTTGTCTACCGTGAAGGTCCTGGTGATCCTGGTCAACAACACAGACCACACACAGCAGTTTTGGAGGTATACATGTGGGACCAAATCTCATGACCTACCACAAAATGAAGCCATTGTGTTACAACAAGTCCCCCTATTCAGCAGCTATCATCAAGATAATCTAACCAGCATAACCAAACACATTCTGATTCATCACAAGATGCCCATAAACCGCACCAGTGACAAGCCAGGACCAGGCAGAGTTTAATTAAAACAGGACACATGGCACATACATTAAATAATAATGAACCTATGAACCTATGCCTGGAGTGAAATATAAAAACTGTTTTTATGATGAAAATAGTATTTGATCACGATCCTGCTTGCCTAAAAGGAGGGCACGTCATCTCCCATCATCTGGAGAAGTCTTTCTCCTCATAGCACTTACTCTAGAGCCTCCCAAGAGTGGCAGAGGGCAAGCCATTAAAGGCCCGTTGAAACACTACAGATACTGTCAGAAGGAGACAGGAGACCTGGAAAGAAACAAGTTAGACAGGCTCCACCAAAGGTTGTGACAATCACACACTCACTGCTCCTGTCCATACTGAGTGTGTGATGATGCCAGATCAGTCTAATTTAAATATAAAAATTTCATGGGACATTCTTAGGGGAGACGCAAGGTTGGAGACTACATGTAAATGTTTGTTGTATAGAGACAGAAGAAAGAGTACCACTCAGAAAAGGTGGCTGACAAAGGAAAAGAGTTTGTAGGTGTAAGGCAATGGGTCTCCACAAGCTACCAGAACAGCTTGAGTTTCAGGTCTGTGACCCCTCGTACCCTGTATTAAAGCATCTGTTTTTCCCCAAGTGCCACCCTGAAATTGACATTTGTGGTTTTGTCTGAAATTTCTCCACAATTATTTTTAATATTGCCATAAAATTTGGGCCACACATTTATGTTCCACTGCAGGATGAAGTGTAATCTCTTTTGGTGCCTGATCCTTAACTTTCTATCATCGATCCAACATTTTAACTTGTGCAATACTATGACCAAATGTCTGCTAAACTAATGACATTACCATCAGCTTCAGCTGTACTTTGTGTTTAGTGTTAATTTGCAAATGTTAGCATGCTATTACTTTAAACCTGGATGGTGAACATTATACTTGCTTAATATCAGCATGTTGGCGTTGTTATTGTGAGCATGTTAGAATGCGGCCAGTGGCATTTTGTTCACAGCATTGCTCACAGAGCTGCTAGCATGGCTAGAGACAGTCCAATTTAACCGGCAAACCAAAAATATTTTTCGCCAAACACTCACCAATGAAAAAAATTAAAACCAATTCTTGTAAAAATATCCAATCTCCCTCCCTGCTGATTGAGTATCATGCAGGGTCTTCTGGGATCATATTAAGTCAGCAAAGAATGGGAAACCAGCTAAGAAAGGTGGCGGACAATGTGATAATTGGCAGAGCACAGTGCAGTCTCTGGATCCAAATGTGATTTAAAAAAAAACATTTATATAAACCTTCCAACCACACACACGTTATTCACAGAGCACAGTTTAGGTTTAGTTTCGTTTTGCTTCAAAAAATCAGGACAGACAGGACTGGGCGTGGGCACCTCTCGGTGTAAAATCCACAATTTAAGTAATGAGTGGGGAGTCAGTTTGTATGTATTTGCTTTCTGAGTCCCCAAGTTTTCTGTGATGATGCTTATTTGTAGAAAATATGAGGAGGGGGGGAGTAGAGGGAGAGGTGGTGATGCTCCACTGGCTGATGTAAAGTGACACACTGTCTGCAGTAAGAGGGGAATGTTGCATGTTAGGCAGGTCAGCAGATGTTGGGCTGACAGTCAATAAAATATTCAAGTCAAGACATTGCTATCATGCATCTGATGTCTGTAATGTCTCAGAAACAGACGATGGGTGAGGACAAGAAATGTGTTCTTGAAGTACAGTGTATGTCACAGGGACATCACATGAAACAATGACCAGAGATGTTTTTCATTTACCTTTACAGTATGTGAGTCAAGTTTTCAAGCCCATCTTACTGCAGGGAGGGGGAGGGGGATGTACACTCTCATTAGCTGGCCTCATTTCTTTCAATCCTACAGTATAATATTCAATAACAACACCTTTCTCTTTTGAAGAGAGAGATTAGAGTGTCCCAGGAGATCCTTATGCTCACTTGCAGGAAGATGGAACATTGATAAAGTACTGGGTAATGTTCAAGTCAAACCATTTTTCCTATTCAAGTGGTTACCCTTAAACTCTAGTTTAATGACCCATCAACAAGAGTAATTTCAATGTGCAGCCTACTATTAAAGTAATTTATGCTTTTAATTTGCCAGTACTTCTTCATCCTTTGCTGAAGGTCTTTTTTCCCAAAATGTTCATGGAAATACAGGAAATGTAAAACAAGTCAATTCAAATTTATTTATTTATTATATAGTCCAAAATCACAAATTGCAATTTACCACAGGGGGCTTTACAATCTGTATTGGATACACACCCTCTGTCCATTAGCCCTCATTTGGGATGTGGAAAAACCTCAGGGAGAGCCACAGAGGGGGGGATCTCCTTCCCAGGACAGAGACGTGTAATAAATGTCGCGTATACAGAGCAGAATAACAAAATCACATACAAATTTTGGTGACAAAAACTTTAGTGTATGTGAAGAACGTGGCTCCAGTAGGACACTGAGCAACTTCAGGTGTTGCCAAGTGGGAGCCATACAACCTCTTCTCCATCATGGAAACCTGGAAGAGGACAGGCCACACAAAGAAAGAAAGAGAGCGAGAGTGAGAGGGAAAAAGAAAACTCGCACAGCTAGGAGGTATGTGGGAACAGACGTAAAAACAGAGAATAGAGTATAAATACTAGGGTTAAGAGATTCATTGAGACCGACCCACTGAAAGAACACTGGTAACAGGTGCAAGGCCTGAACTAATCTGAGAACACTAAGTGAAAATTAGTTTCAAGTTTGGATTCAAATGCGTTAATGGAGTCAGATTGTCTGATATCAGCAGTATCAGTATCATTCCAGTTCCTGCAGAGCGAGATGATTCTGAGAGTGGAGATCAGGGGACAGAACAGGTTAAGGTTACTTTAAGCATGAGGTTAAAATATTGGCAAAACTCAAGTTCTGCAGCATGTTCTGCAGCTTTTAGCTTTGTCACACCAGCAGATGATGTTTGCTGAGCTGTGATGTAACTTTAGATGTTAACTTTCCATTTCTCTAAGCACTTTTTGAACTTCTGTGTTGACCAAAAAGTTACAGCAGTTGACAAAACAATCACAACTAAAGGGTTCAAAAAAGATTTGTTTGTGACTGAAATTGAAATGTATTTCACGCGATGCATATTAAAAAAAATTATACAATATTGACTGACTTACAAACCTAAAGTTAACCACACCCAATTATTATTAATTTTACATACAAATCCAAAGATGTACTGCTGTGTACTAAATTTTAGACATTAGCTTCTCTGAGTAACATAACGTATGTGTAATGTGTAACAAGATATTGAAAAAGCAAATGTACACTGTTTAATACCTTTACATTACCGCCATCTACTGGTACATACTGCCAGTGCACACTGCATATATGTGAGTATAAATATTACCTTTATATTCAAGTAATAACAAAAACCACAACTGACATGACAGCACCAATTGTAAAATCAGAACTTTATTACAACACACAACACTGTATATCCAGTCACTTTCAAAGCCTACAGTTAGTCCTGAAAGCTGGCTGCAGTGGATATGAAGCCAGACCCAAGTATTGTAATTGTCAAAAACAAACCACATGCCCATCAACATCCATTACCTCTGGACAGTCCACAACATACAGAATAGATCTGAGCATGCCAGACTCCTGAAAAACCCAATTACTTTGCATAATAATGTACTGTACAAACTTCTATTGCATATTGACGCACTGTACAAAACCAACAAATTGCTCTGCAATATAACTGAAAAACATCAACCAGGTTTAGGAGCAGGTTTAGTATGCTGCAGTGTGAACGGTAAAATGACACCGATGTGGAACTGAAGGTGCATGATAAATAACTGAAGCTGGGGCACAGCCATACTACACTGACATATTTGAGAGATTCTCACCTCACAGCTTGAGTCCCAAATATTAAAACACGTGAAAAGCACCTCTGACTCAGTTTGTGCTAAGGCAAACATGACACTTATGTAAAAAGAAGGCAAACGAATCAGCTAGAACAGTAACCGAGCTGCCATATTAACACAAGTTAGAACTTACTATATTCTATGAATCAGGCGCTTCCCGCACTCGAAATACATATCATAAGGTGTTTTATGTGCAGATTAAAACACAAGTTATAGGGGGGCCCGGGTAGCTCATCTGGTAGAAATGGCACCCCATGTACAAAGGCTGAGTCCTTGCTGCAGTGAAGCAGACCTGTGGCCGTTTGCTATGTGTCATCCCCCCTCTCTCGAACCCCTATCCCGTCTATCTTTAGCTGTCCTATCCAATAAAAGGGTAAAGAAAACAATATAAAAAACAAAACAAAAAACACACAAGTTATAGATGCATACCATACACAAGGGTACAATATATGAGAACAAAGAGGAAGACCTATTGAAATAGCGTTTAGTGCCTAGTGGACACTTCAACTGAACTTGACGTTATACAAATAAAAAAATCAAGGCCGAAGCAGACCCCAAACCACCTTCAAGTGAGGCACGGGTATTGCTCTTACATAAACATGCAGTACCATTACCCAACAACCTGTACTGTTCTGATTGTACCATTTAAACAAATGTACTTCTACACAGGCCCACACGACTGTAATTCAATTGGCCAAATTAAACAAGGAGATGCTTGGAATGGACTCTCCAGCAAAGAAAAAGTACCACCAAAGGGTCAGTTCACTAACATACACATATCTACAGTATCTACACGGATAGATACTAGGGTAAGTGTTTCACGTTTTTTTTATTTTATTTGGGTGAATTGACCCTTTAATACCTCCTCAAAAGGTTATGCATAACATACACCAATTAGCTGACAGTTCATAATTAGCCACTGTTAAAAACACAACACAAATAACAGAGACTTAAAAGGTCCAGTGTGTAGGATTTAGTGGCATCTAGCCATGTAGTTGCAGATGGCAACTCCCTCACTTCACCCTCCCCTTCCCAGCTTCTGTTTTGAGCATGTCAAAATGGTGGTTCAACATGGCTGTAGATAAAAATGACTCATTCTAAGTTTTAAAAAAAAAAAACATTCTTATTTTCAGTTGATGATACACTAATGAAACAATGAATATTATATTCCAGATAGAGCCTCCTAAATATTACACACTGAAGCTTTAAATTCAATGATAATTACCTCAGACCATTGCCGTCAAATTTCTTCCATTATTTTGTGCCCTCTTATTACCACTATTATTTCATCTAAGACAGGGTTGGCCAAAGTGGGGCCAGGGGGCCTGCCATAAGGACAATCTGATGTTTCTAGCAAAAACAATTCAAATTTAATTTTAAAAATCCTTTTAGAAAATCACTCTTTGTACAGTTTTGTGTGACTTAAAAATGCTATTTCAAACGCTTCAATTTCAAATTACGTTTCAGAATCTGAGCAGGCGTTTAGAGACACTTTGGGCAGGAAGTTCCTGGTGTACAATTTAGCATCTTACAATCAAATACTATGGGTGTTTGCTTTTGGCCTGTGGTCCATCATAAAGTTGCAGTTTGGGCATTTTGAGGGAAAAGGTTTGGGTACTCCTGATCTAAGAGGAAAGATTCCAAACAACTGGTCTGAGGAATTAACCCACATCAAGGAAAGACTGGCATGTTAAAGCATCCGAGTAGTCAAAATATCTAAACTGGAAGATGTGGTGAACTGATGTTATCTCAGATTGTAGTGATCTATCTTCTTTAAAATACGTCTTTTGGAAATACTATACATACTTATGAGTATGAAAATAGATTGTGCAGACTGAATAGGACTAAAATTTAAAGTCACACTAAAATTTAGGAAGGGGGCAGGAAGAAGAGCAAGAGGAAAAGGTCAAAACAGCAACACATTTACAATCCCAAATTCCTCACATATTTACAAAAACAAAGACTTTGTATAAAAAGTATACATCTAGGAATAGGCCTGTGGCACACCTGATACATGAGCAAACGATGCAGATCATCCCTCTAGTCGCAGGGCAAAAACACTGTTTCTATGAGATTCAGCACACACACAAGGCAGAGTTGTGGCGCTGTGGTAGGATACTGCGTTCCTCGGAGGAGCTTCTTTCTCCCTTTTGTGCACGAGTTTGTTGGGTTTGTTCACTTTGTACATTTCTATGGGGCGTCTCCTGGGGGAAGGTTTTGTTGGAGGACCGGCCAAGCCGGCGGTGAGGACCTCTTAGTTCAGGGGGGGGATGCAGAGAGCGGCGAGACCTTTTTAACGGAGGAGCAGAGGCGGCACAGTCCATTTGGGTTGTCGAGTCTTGCTTTTCGAAAACATTCGCAGAACCATCTGAGGGGGCCAGCGTGGCCCTCACAGAGTCAGCGTCAGGTAAGAGTTGTGCGGTGGCACAGAAAGCTGCTTCATACAGCCCAAATGCCTGCTCCAGAGTTGTAGAACTGTCTTTTAATGGGGAGGGAGCATTCACTGCATCGCTCCGCTGAAATAAAACAAATCAAAAAATAAAATTAAAATCTTAATTTAAATGTTAGAATGTATATCATCTAATTTTTCAATCCAATTACTGGTGCAAATATTAAGTTTAAATTCATTCAAATTTAGGTTTTTTTGTCAAGAAAACAAGAAAAAAGTGAAACACAACTTGTAATTCATCTAAAATTGAAAATGAGACACACAGATGAGTGATAATGATACAAGTGATAATGTAGGCAGTAAGTACAGATTGAAATAATGCTGATGCTGGGTAATTTGGGAGGTAGAAGCTTTCTTAGTGTTCTCCATCTTGTATCTATTCCGTTTTTTTTCAAATAAGACAGCAATATCCCTGTCTGTGTCTACTGGCTAAAGTGGGAGGAAGGTTTAAGGTGGCACTGGTGATGGTAACCATCTTTTATTAACAAAGTCATTCAGTGTTTTGGAATTGGTTATGTCACTTTCACGAAAACATTTTGAAGAAATACAGTTCTCTTATAGCAGCTTATACCAGCTACAAGGGAAGTCTGTTATTCTTATATCTATATAGCTGAGCTACTCTGTGTACCACCTCAGAAAACACTGGGCAGTCCAAGTACCACCATTATGACCGATGTTAAAAAAAGCCATCCCTATTTGGCTGCGGACAGTTCACGCAGGAGGCAGGTTTATTCCTGATAAGATTATTATTTATTGCTGACTGTTGCTGATTCTTGAAGGAACCAGTTGAAGAACCGGAATTTGGTGGAAAAGGAGTACTTCTGGTCCACACTTCTCTTCCTAATAGTTCCCGCTTGGAGCCACAGTTGCAGTGTTTCTGAACCATTCACTTAATATCTTGTCATCCCGTTGTAGGTCGTATCTAATCACGTATGTATGCATGCGCTAGGTCCATGAACGTGACATGAACGTAGCAGGCTGATATTAAAACAACATATTACAGGAAACTTATTTTAAAATTACATTTTAGTGAAATATGTAGGATTTTGATGATATTATATGTTTTTAAATTAATGTATTTTATTTTTCCTCCGCATACCACCAGTGGTACGCGCACCATAGTTTGAGAACCAGTGCATTAAATCATTGGCGGGTCATGTTGCTGATACATTTTTAGAACTGAGCAGTCACCTCACTACCACTCCAGGCATGGCCATCCCTCATGTTCTTCTCCATATATCTCATCTTCTTCAAAAAACATGTCATCCTCATGCTCCGCCTGTTGGCCCCGAAAACAAAGAGTGATTCGTTGAAACCAATTGTCCACTGATAAATGCTGGTTATGACCTTGAGTCAACAGCCATGTTGACTACAAACCTTCTTTATTTTAACTGGTGAAAGTATTAAACAAAATGACAATCAAAAATGGACTGGAATATATAAAAGGACAATACAGTGAATAGCAAACAACAAACAAACACACAAAAAGTATATTTTTCCATTGTCAGAGTGGTGCTGAGGTACTCTCCCCCAGCAGTGACCCCCCACTCTGCATTTGGAAAATATCTGTCATTTTGCTGAGTTATATGGTTCATCCTCATGAAACATCACAAAAGGAGGATGAAACAAGGCTAAGGCACTGACCTTTGGGACCTCACATGTGTTGTAAGTAGTTCCTGGGTATGGAACGTGGTCAATTCCTGTAGCCATGTCGACAACAATCTCATCTCGATGCATAGGGATAGGAGGGCCTCCGCGCTCCTGTAGGGCCAGGACGATAACCGTGGTGTTGTCTGCACGCAGCATCCGTTCTTTCCAAAACAGCAGTGCTGTGCATCCCAGCCGGCGAGCGCAAGACATTCCCTTTGGTCCCTGGAAGCAAAAATAAGTGGCAGAAAGAGAAAGAAAAGGAATGACTGTATCTATTTTAAATCTAAAAGTCCCATTCCACACTGTATGATTATGTAGAGTTGTACAATACGTACCACCATTTTGTCGTGGCTATAACACATATTGACAGCATTCTTGGGTGGCATCATATTCCATAGTCCATCACTGCCGAGGATGATGTAGCGATGGCGTTTGGGGTCAAGGGTCATCACAGTGGTATCAGGCTCTGGAGAAACCACAAACTCCCCACTGTAGAAATCATAGCTCCACAGATCACCTGTCAACAGATAAGGAAAGTGTATCACTTTTGGAGGAAAAACATACATTTTTCATGAGCAATATGAAGAATACATTAATAGACACATAATCCCAACAGACAGGGCGTCATCTTTACCGAGGGATCGGGCCACCGCCAGGAAGGGGATCTGGTCAATGACTGTACTCCTCCTCACAGGGCCGTTATGGGTCAGCCTGGGCCTCTTCCACACGACACGGTTAACCCCAGATTTCTTCATTACACTAAAGTTACAGGAATAACACAACACACTTTTAAGATTGACAGGAAACACAGCAATGTTGAAAGGAACAATTGCAAGAAAATATCTGCCCCCCGTGTGGCGTTATTTCGACTTGACATAGCCCATGACCTTAACTCAATCTTGTAACATGCCTCCGAAGGAGTCCGCTGTGAGGTTCCTGCTCGCCAACTCACCTGCCACCCAATCGTTCAATCCTTTCTTTTTCTTTAGGAAGTTCAGGTTTATGGTCTTGTGTTACTTCAAGTGCCTGGAGCGTGATATCACAGTCATTTTCTTTCACTCCAACCACTACTGCTGAATCCCCCACATGGGCAACATACATGTGAACCCCGCGGATCACAATCACGCTGGCTGTGGTGCCTGATGTACTGGGCAGGCCAGTAATAGTCTTTGGCCACTCCGCTGGAAGGAAAAAGACAAATAAATAAAGCGATTTGATGTTACTCACTGATAAAATGTAGTCACAGTTTGGAAACACTGCTCATAGTATCAGTAAAAGCAATGACACAATGGAAAATGTTGTTAAATTGGTCAGTTAGGATGAACTAGATACAATTCATGACTTCAGAATATTAAATCTGCAACATAGGCTACTAAAGAATGTATGAGTAAGGGTTTTCAAATTTTTATCGATTTTGATTCGATTTAAGAAAAAAATTTAACTTCTAACAAAAGTATCACTGGCTTGTGAAGATAATAGAAATATATATTTTAGCTGGCATTAAGGTGTTAATACTGTCTACCCAGGTCAGGAGGACTCTTCAAAGCATCTTTAAAATAATCTACCACAAGATATGTTGGTACACAAATAAACACGTCAGCTTCAGTTCAGGCAGAGGAAAATATTAACCTTCCTGCTTAACTTCAGCAACCACAGGGAATAATCTGGTCCTGTATCTTCTGTATCTGTACTGAATTATAGTGAAGCTTCTTACAGTATCAACAGGAGGTCAATAAAAGTAAAACAGTTGTTATATTTATTCATTTCATTCACACAGATGTTTAGACCCAAACACAGAAGGAAAGCAAACCAAAATGACTTTATCGCCATCACACTGCAGTACTGATGAAGATCAGTGAAGTTTCTGCTGGCCACCAACTGCAGGGTCGTTTCATAAAGCATGATCACCACATAAACCAGGCTTACTTGAGTAAATCAGGCTTCTTTATGAGAAATTCTGTTTGATAAAGCAGGATTAAATATGTTACCATGCAAATGTACTCTTGCACAGTAGCTTTTTATAGACTAGCTTAACCAGTTTTACATTCTACCAACCAGACTGAAAGTAGCAGCACTGCATTGTTGTTTTGTTTATTTTACATATTACATATTTGCATGCTCCATGGTCGTGGACATCTTTCTCTTAACCTCTCTGTATTCTTCATGAATGAATGAATTCATTTAATCCACGTCTCAGGTCAGGTGTTTTAAAGCCACGAATGAGGAGTTCCTCACCCAGATTTGAATTAGTTTGCACACATTTAGCACAGAGTTGGCTTTATGAAAACAGCTTAATCCTGGTTCAGCTTGTTAGGTTCACTCAAGTTAGGTTTTTCACAATAATAACACTATGTGTCTGCAGTGCTTTCTGCAGAGGTGTGTATGCACTGCAGAGTATTTCACATTTAAGGACAATGCCTTGTGTTTCTGTCAAATAAACAGTGAATTAAATACATATTCTTCAGTAGCAGCAATGTTAAAACGGAATGGCCACCATCATACAAAGAAAGCTGCAGGTGAAAATCCCCAGACAATTAAAAACTGGCTGCTGTTATAACCCCCAATTTGATTGACAGTTCTGAGTTATATTGTGGCTTATATCAACACTGAAGGCTGTATCGTGGTTAGATGACAGCTCACGGTGTTCATTTGTTATGGGATGGGCCAGTCGGCAGAGGATTGGGCATCACGGTACCAGCTGAGGAGGTGGATACAGCCTCATGTGACACAGCTTGCCATCTAACGTTGCCGAGACTGTGGCGTCAAGAATCACGAGCAATGAGCAGAAATAAATGCAGACAGCAATAAATATGAGGGTGGCAAAAACAAGCAAGAAGGCTAACTTCGATGACTTACGTAGCTCTTTCCACATTGCATGGTGACAGGCGATGAAGCCCTTCCGAAGAGCGGCACACACTTCACTGTGATCCGTCGACCAAAAGCCCCGCTGCCTCTTCAACAAATCCCACAGATTCTCTCTCGCGAAATGTGCCGCTTCTCGACCCCCGTGGCCATCAAACACGGCGAAAAACGCCACAGATTTCCGAGTGTCGACTACATGCTCTGCGACTTTTTCGTCCGATGCCGGTACACTGTTGTTGCCACTGTCCTCGTTAGATAGGTTCTCTACCCACATTGCAGAAACCGGACCAGACTCGGCAGCGACGTTCTGGTCGTGTGTCTCATGTTCAGTCTGTTTGGTGGGTTCACTCTCGGCTTTTCCCTGTCCTCCATGTCTCTGCGACTTTGGATAATCTTCCACTGGCGACGGCGTCGGCTCGTACTCGATTCTTATCTCGACAACATCCTCCATGTATTTTCTCCCCCCTTGCTCGGAAAATGCGCTCATACGAAACACTATTGCCTCGTCCATGATTGTGAACGCCTAATGTTAACTATCTAAGCAATAAAGGGGCACATGTAGTTGCTAACTGTAGCCTGGAAGCTAAATTTTTGAACCGATTTTTGCCGCGATTGTATGGCCGAAGGCTTCCTTCCTTTTTGTTTATCTTCTCCTAGACGTCCCGCTGTACGTAATGACGTCCTGTTTTTCCACCTATCAACTTAGCAACGACGCACAGCACGTCCGACTATGTTGCCTTTACTGGGGCTCGAAGACACTGGAATTACATGACATTACATGTAGCGACCACATGATGTATGATTTAATGTTCATATCGTTCTCATTTGTCTCAGACGGTCCCAGCTGCTCTCTTACGTGCTTTGGTATTATTACAATAACTCAAGATAACTTTTTAAAATCGATTCTTCGAAAACTGATGAGACCTTAGAAGAACTGGTATGGCAAAACAACAGCCAAGGTAAACAAAATGTTGTGACCATACCAAAGAATAGGTGTCTATGGTTCTATCATTCAAAAATTTCAGAAGTAAGTTTTGAATTTTATTAGGAAGATAACTGTAAATTAAGCTTACTCAAAACTAACCTAAGCTATTTACCCAGAGCCTCTGTAATGGTGAACTAATGCTTGACAGAAACATTAAGTTATCATTTGTTTCTTTAACCATATTTTCCTTGCCTTAAACATATTTCAGGTTAAAATCCATTGCCAGGTCTCCTTTATGTAAAAACATGTTTGAAAAGAAAATTATGAAAAGCATATTTTATGTTCAGGGGCGGATCTAGAGGGGTGGCAGTAGAAAATACTGGGCCACCCCAGTTTGCTGGCAATCACTGTCAAATTTAAAACATTAATTTAGAGTTATTAAGAAACATGTTAAAAAACAGAAATGTATTTAATGATGTGTTTTGGCCACATTTAGACTAAAAGGGGTTCAGATCTCAAGTCATCTTTCAATATTTCTATGTAATGTTTTTGAGGTAAAATATCCTCATATGGAGGCTTATCTGAGCAAGTATTGACAGTGTGATGTGATTGTGAATAAATCAGCATATATTTCTGCCACAGCCTCTATGTCACCCCATGAATATTTCTCAAGATCGACAGGCTATTTTAATGGCCAACACGACTTGAAAATTTGCTTCTGAAGACTTGACTTGAAAATACTGCCTCACTGTCACACTGCAGTGGCTTACTGGGGCAGTAATAGAATCCAACCATTGTCAATGTTATTAGTAACACTCATCTTACCCTGCAATTAAGTTGAAATTCTGCTGTGGCCTATCCTGCTCTGCCTCTATGTGTCATGTCAAGAAACAATAACTGCTGAATGTAAAGATTTGACTTAAAATCACAATGATTATTTTGACTTTGTAATACAAAGGATTTACTTAATATTAATACTTTTTGCATTAATGCAATGCTTTCTACTGTACCTGAGTTTTGCAAGCTGGATGGATGTAATGATGAGTCTAAAGTGTAGTTTTAGTGTTTATAACTCATCAGTTTTCATTAAAAAAAAACACTAGAAAGAAATGGGAAATAATAAAAGTAGTTTGGGTTTTATCAATGCATGTTTGCATGAGCTCTTCATCAAGTAGTGCTACAGTAATGCCAGGTGGAGGCAGTGTTAATCCAATCAAATAACATTAATTCTCCGCATTTACCCTCATTTCTCACAGAAATTCAACAAACAGGAATTTTTATAAAAGGCATAATGGCAGCACACATACATCATCTTATCATGAGAAAAAAAATCTAAATATTTGATACCTGTAATCATTTTATCATTGTGAGCTATGGTCTATAGAAACCACTTTCAACATTCATTATCATACCCCACACATGATATATGACTTGACAAGATAACCCCACCTCTGTGTAGGTTGTTGTCTATGTGTGTAAGCACGTATTTATGCTCGAGGTCACAAGTGACAGTGTGCAAATCCAAGTTTGTGCAGTGTGTATGGAGATGCATCCAGTATGTGTGTGATGCTCGGTTGCTGGTTAAGACTGCACTGAAATAATGCTGTTTTTATCCCACAAACACAGGTCTTTGTATAAGTCCATTTTCAAGTAATGGGTTTGCTTTTTGATGACCACCACAGAGAAGGGATTGATGTTATCAAGGAATTTTCTTACAAGATAAAACACATGCAGTAATCAAATCTCTTCCCGTATTCAAATATTTGTCATTGTGACCTATATGCATTCCTCTCAGCACCTACTCATGTGCTTTGCTGGTGGATTTTTTTCTTCTTCTTTCAGGAAAAATCTTTACATTCCTCTGTTGTGTGTGAGAAAGAAGGGTAGGGGGAAGGAGAGAGGAGGAGACAGGATACACATCTTTAAGGGGAAAAATAGGAATTTCCCTCATTATGCTTTCCCTCAGTGTCTTCATCTCTTCTTCATCCCTTAATACCCAAAGCTCTGACCTTGGCTTTAACCCTGAAAACCACACATTTTATCATCTTTCTTTTTCTTTCATTTTTTTCTTTCTTTCTGTCGTTCTTTCTTTCTACACATTTTATAATCCTTATTTTTCTTTCTTTCTTTCTTTCTTTCTTTCTTTCTTTCTTTCTTTCTTTCTTTTCTTTTCTTTCTTTCTACACATTTTATAATCCTTATTTTTCTTTCTTTTTCTTTCTTTCTATCTGTCTGTCTGTCTTTCTTTCTTTCTTTCTTTCTGTTTATGGCCATTAATAGTCTAGCCCTCAGAGAGGTCCTGTCTGAGCACAGGCCGCTATTACAGATGAAGAGGCAAAGTGATTTCCATGTAAATGGTGTCAGAATGTCATTTTCAAGTGAAGCTGCTGAGAAAATGAATCCTGAAAATGAGAGAGATTACCAAGGGGCAATGACACCTGGATTGCATTCTCACAGATTCCCCATGCAGCTCTTGTATAATGATCCATCCATAAAAGTAGCTTTGTTTGGCTTCCTGACTGTGTAGGTGCTGAAGTGTCAGTCAGCCCGACCAAAGAAGAGAGAGGAAAAAGGGGCTCAAACATTAACATATAAATGTATGGTAATATAACCACTGGTCAGTTTTATAATAGAAACATCAATGTGTGTGTGTGTGTGTGTGTGTGTGTGTGTGTGTGTGTGTGTGTGTGTGTGTGTTAGAGAAAGAGAGTAACCTTATTGATGGAATTTGTTTCTTTATCAACCTGTAGTAAAAGTCTAATGATTAATTGGTGAATGTACAAGGCAAATACATTATATGTGGACCTCAGGGCTGACCATTAGTCTATGTGACAGGTTCCCCAGCTAAAGAAACAAATATTAAGACCAAAATGGAACTAGGCAAGAGAGGCTAGGGCCATGGGTCAATAGGTTTCTTAACCCTCAATCTCTTTTCTCTTTTTCTAACAGAAGCAACATAAGGAAAATGCCCACTGTCAACACTTTCACGGAGGTTAGTAGCCTATAAATTATCATCTCAGTGCTACTGCTACTATCCCTAAAGTCCCCCACCCCTCAAAGATCATTTTGTCTTCTTGTTCCTACAGTTGGATGTTTGAGTTTCACTGTGCAGAATGAGGTACTTGCAGACTTTGACACTAGAAGTATGTTGTCACATTCATCTGCTGAAAGTGGAAGGTTTCTCTCTGCTCATTGAAAATCAGCATGATTTTTACATCACACATAGTTTGGAAGTCAATTCTGGTCAAGTATGCAACATATACAAGTGTGATGTAGAAACTTGAAGCCACCAGTGCAAATAGGAGACATCTTGTGTTCAGCAGGAACACTTCAGAAAACTTGTTTTGCATATTCATAGATTTTGGAATTTTTAATGAAGGACTAGATGCATTTTGTAAAGATTTTATTGTGGAAATTATACATTTTTTTGCAGAAGAAATATAACAGACACACATTATTGTTTCAAACAGTCATGTCTTAATATGTACAATTAATAATATAACAATGAATACAATTAAATAAGCATGCGCTCCATTTACCCTGAAATGTTTATCTCTAATATGATGTGATCTCTGCATATATATGTACTTCATTGACTTTTATAAATGTATGTTCTTAGAAGGTCATGGGTGATAGAGAAAAAATGATTAAAGGTTGATTTTGTAGTTGAATGAGTGGAAAGAGGTATATTTAAATAATACTAACATGTTGAGAATACCAAAATTGAATGACTGTAAAATGCTCTGCAATTACAGTTGAGGTAAGATAATTGAAATAGCAATTATCTTACGCTGTGATTGTCCTAGCATGCAGTAATGACCTCTACCTTCATTTAATAGTTTTAAATAAAAAAAAAATGGATAAAACACTGAAATACACAATGTTTGTCCTCATTCAGGGTTGGATGTAAATGTACAGCTATCACTCAATAGGCCTGATGTTGTATTCTGTAACAAGTAATGGCAGTAAGCATGGCAATGGATTTAATAAGATAATGAAGGTGAGGAGGAAAATATACACGTCAAAGGTGACAAATAGAAATAAATCTAATGACATAAAAAGATGATGTTGCTTATCAACGACAACACTGGAAATGGTGAAAGGGACGTCCACAGAAAGGGACATTTAAACAACATTTAAGAGCTATCCTGCATCCTCCAAATACAAAACATAATTTTTTATGAGTGGCTGTACTGTAAGACTTTGTGTATCTCACCCCAGGTTCAAACCGCAACTGACTTGGTCCTTCTGACCAGTTGAGCAACATTCTTGCTAGAAGACCACATTTCCTCTTGAGATGATTATCTTTCCAATGTCACACTCACAAGTCTGCTCCTGTCGGCATGACAGATGACCATGATATTGACTTGAGGTTAATTCAAAATCGCACCGCTGAGTTAGATGAAGGATCTTGATAAGAGCGCTGCTGATAAGAGTGTAGTTGAAAAGAAAATTGTCTTGGGTCACATGCCCTGATGCTCCTCTATTGCGCCATCAGACTCTATACATTTTGCCATATTCTTTTGCACAGGAGACTTATGGGTAAGAATACCTAAAAAGATAAATGTTCACATTCATGGATTTTAAAAAGCCGTTAAACTCACTGATGTGTGTTTTTGGTCCACAGCATATTGTAGCTTATTGTATTAAGCAAGTATTTACTGCCAGTTCATTAGTAGACAGGCTTTATAATACTTTTCATGACAACAGTAATGAAACTAAACTTGGGCTGAACTGAAAGTAACACAAAATTATACCTAAAGCACGGGTGTATTTGCCTGATTTGTGTAATGACACAATCACTGAGCCCATCAAATAGCTGGTCGACTGAATTGAATAAATAGCTTCTGAGCAATGTTGCAGATCAATTCTCCCTTTGTTACACACATCATTACACAGAAGAAGATGCATTCATCAGTCATTGTGGACATTGTTTTCAATAAGATGAAAAACGTACTGTGAATACTATTCATTTGATGTGAGTAAAATAAATAATTTTAAGAAAATACACAGATCTGAGGATTGTGAGACTATAGAAAAAGGCAGGGTTCCAAAGACAGGTGGACTGAAAAATCTAATATTTCTACTGGTGTAAATGTGTCTCTTTGCTATCTCTGTGATGAATTGGGTGTGTTGGCTGCCTTGTTGCTTGTGTATGCTAAGGTTCCAGCAGCACCGCTGTATATAATAAGCAGGAAGAAAAAATAAATGGGCGAAAACCACTTCAATTTCACTCTGAAAGAGACAGAGGCATACTGGTTTTGCTGCAGGTGAACATAAACCCTGTGGAATGCTTTTCTGCAGATTGTGAACCACAATGCAGGTTTTATTGTGAGGAAATTCATCAAAATAAAGTATATACGTATATATTTATAGATATGTATATGTGTATGGATGGATGGATGGATGGATGGATGGATGAAAGTCTGCATACTGGGCTCAAAATAATTCTAAACAATAACCGCTCATTTTGCAATATAGTATGTTAATTGATGAGAAATGTTGAAAAGGTGTTGTAATATTAAGATAAACCATGAGACAGCCACTCAAAAAATATTCTAATACATTCTTATTGGGTGTGAATGCGTACAGTTGCTCAGTAACGTGAGAAGAATATACTCAACTAACTTTACTGTACAATTGTTCATAATATGCTCACAATAACTCAAATGGTGGTTTCAGTCACACTGTGAATTAAACTGTACTTGTACAGGTGCACCTGTGGAGAATGACGCCTACAGAGAATGAGAATGCAGCAGCTCAGTGCTGTTTATAGAGAAAAACAAATGTATCTTCTACGATGTTAATTAAAAATACGAACACACAACCAGTAACCAGTAAAGACCAGCTCATTCTGGAGCTGCGTGTCAAGTGGGTTTTGGAAATTAATTTAAATTTCTGTTCAAAGCTAACTGAAACTTGGGTCCCTCTCTTGTCTTTTTCGACTTGTTACATCGTCTTTTACGCTGTTGTCTTCATGTTTGTCTGTTATGCGCGATATGTTCATGCCTTAAAACTGAATGAATAAGCCTGTCTTTAAGGTGTAAAGAGTATAAAATACAGATACTTATGTAAAAATGAAGGGGGTGAACATGAGAAGTTGACAGAAAAATAAATACTCAAGTAAAGTCCTTAAAAACTAAGTAGAGTAACAAAGTATTTGTACTTCGACTTTCTACATAGAATTCTCACATCAGCATAAATGCATCAAATCAAATAATGTTGAGGAACAGATTGTCGGATTGTTGTGGATTGTTGGAGCTGCTGAGGCCATAATTGAATCTCACGCACGCAAAAGACTTATGTGAAATGGAATTATAATTTTTTGTTAAACAATCCAGAAAAGATTTGGATTTGGAAGAAATTGGTTTGATGTCTGTATCCTAAAAATCATTATTAATATAATTCAACTTTTAAAGCCAGTAATTCAGTTTCAGCTTTTTAACATCCTTCATACATTATTGGTATTATTCAACTTACATAACCAGCAATGCCATTTAACGTCAGCTTGTCAACATACAGAATTCATACCTGAAATCTCTTCAGAAATTGTCTTCAGTGGTTCAGCATTTACTGTGCATTAACACACTGGTTTACCATTACACTTAATGAAAGAATTCAGAATAATCTTCAACATGCCACATATTAATTATATATCCATGATGTCCCCAATGACAGAAAAAGGACAATTTTTTTACAATTTTAAATAAAATCAAAATGATAATTTTATCAGTGAAATTCACAGTTTTCTAATGTCCTGAGTGTGTGAGGTGTCAGGCTTAATCAATAAAAGTAAATTGTCTGAGTGCAGCCTTAGGACCCTGAGGATATTGGACCTAGGTTGCTGCAGAGGTAGGTTTGTGATTTGTATGCAACCCATCTGATAGCGTCTCCTGGATCACAGATGGATTATTTAAGCTTTTCCTTCGGCATAGGCTCCTTCTTTTGATTTTTTTTCTCCCTTTTTACAGGTCCACATCGTGCCTTCTTTTTTCACTCTGTCTCTGCTTTCATTGTTTGGTACTTGGATGCCTCAAAAGCACGCACTGGCAGACATTTGGCTTTACCGGAGAAAATGGAACAATAATGCTGAATGAATAAGCTGGACGGGTAAGTTGTAAAGTTGTACTCATATTCAAATTAGCGAGGCTTGGTTAGTTAGTAATTTCAGTCTTGTCAGTGCACATGTTTTTGGCATTCAGAGGGAATTGAATCCTTTCACTGCCCATTGCTTCATACAGGAGCAGATGCTGTCCACGTGCTATGGTGCTGAAAGTTGTTTGTGCCTAAAACAAATTTGTAGTGAATGTTATTTGTATTCTGATAATTGGATATTGCCAAACAGGCAATAGTTGCAGAGTTTAGCTCTAATGTAGCTCTATTTTTTATTTTTCAATTTCTCCTTCCATTTATTTTTGACTGAAGAGAAGGTAAAAGTCAAGTCTATTTCATAAAATGATCACATTTATAAATGTATTTTTAACTTTACTTAAAGTTTAAAAATAGCTAGATCAGATAACCATATTGCTGATTAATCTGAAGGAACTGAATTATATATAAGAATGCATTATACGTGTATTTAATAGATAGGTAAAATACCTCACGGCTTGAGCTTCAGCCTTTTCTCTCCACAGTATATGGTCTGTTTCCTGTCTTATTTCTCTGGCTTCTGGTTTTGAAAATCCTTCAGTGGTTTTGAAATCCCTAAAGGGATTAAGCTATGGATGTGTAACAGTTGCTAGAAAACATTCAAACAACCCCAAACTCATATCTCAAAGGATGCCTTAAAATGGTGGATTTACTTTATTTGGCTGTACTATGAACTCAAAAACAGTTCATTGTAAATATAAAGTGGCCCCTAACTCGCATGGCCAAATAAAAGGAAAGGTATGAAGTTTTCTTTTCCGCAAATGATGAGGAGGCGTGAGCTATGAGGTACTGTGAATGAGAGCGTTGACGGAAAAACCCATTGTCAAGTTGACTGGAGTCAGTGGATTCAATTTCCTATTAAATCCCATAATCTGAATTCCTTCATGGGCCTGAGGTTTTTATCAAGGATGGATGAAACAATTGTTTACTGCAATAGACACCTTAATTAATATGTTCTCCTTTCCTCTTTACAAATACATCCTTTATCAAATAGTCAAACTGCTATTAATCCACCACCCCAAGCACATATTTTCTTCTTTACTTGCAGATTCAATGTATAAATGCAGCTAACAGCATGTGTAGTTGTCCACGGTCTTGATGCTGACATATGAGTGTCATCCATCCACTGGGCCCAAGGGTCACTGCCCCTTTGGTGCTAGTCCCTAGGATCATCTGTTACTCCTCACGCTAGTTTTTCTCCTCCACAATGCCTACTCAGCCGACTATGACTTGCATGATCCCTGACAGAGCTCCAGACATTGCCTCTCATACTTTTAATATCCTTTGTCTTGCTCTGATAGCTCCCATAATGCATTATAGTGGCACCGATGAAAGCCCGTATTTGTCTCCCCATCCATTTCCCCAAAAGGCACAACCATATGTCAGCGATAACTGCCGGGTGTTGATAAGAACTCTTCAGTCTTACATGAGGAGACAATGAGCCTTGTATAGTGTTAAAAATGT